CAACAGAAACAAAAATTTTACTATTGGATTCCTTACAGCGACGATCGGCAGTTCCTTCTCGGTAGTGGAGAAGTTGTAAGGTGAAATTCTGGATGGCTCCAGCCACACACATGCCGCCCACGCCGTGGAGGTCATGGCAGTCCCCTGTTTCACATAGCATGCTACTGCATTATTTTCATTTTCAGGTGATTGTATAAAAGTATTTAATCGTGTTTAATTCTTCTTACTTTCATAGTCATAATTACAAGCACCGTCTGGTGTGTCAATGAAGTGAAGTGAGCTTGTCCAGCGGTATTTGTACCAGTGCCGGATTTGGTCCGGCCAGGTGCAGAGGGCGGATAAGTCTCCATTGACATTGTGGGGTAGCAAATTCGCAACAGCTTCTGCAGCCTCCTGCTCTAAAAGACTCTGGAATAGGAGAGATAACATTTTAGTCAATGGGGGTTTGACATGCTCTGTACCATATTATTGAAATGTAAAGCTTGTTTCTTTCCATTACCTATTTTCGGAAAAAAATAAAATAAAATAAAGCCTGTTTCTTGCCACCTATGGTGCATAATTAAGTTCACTTTTCTCATCTTCATTATTTCTCTTTAACCAAAAAAAAAAAGAAGATCAGACTGACCCTATCAAAGAATTCTATGTTGCAAAAAGGGGATTATCTCTTGCTGTAAAAGCCCTCTTTAGAGGAGGGGAGTCTCAGTGCACAATTTGTTAGTTAAGCCATTGTTGGAAATTTAGAGAGTGAAATACTGCCAATCAGTTAATCCTCCGCAGAGAGGAGGAAAAATGAAGATTAGAAGAAACATGGAGTTGGGGAGTAACATTACCTGTGCAATCTGGCAAGTCAGGGCGTGACCCTCTTTGCTCCAGGCCTGAGCTCTGGGGATTAAAATCAAAGCCAGACCCACTAACAATACAAAATCAAGAGAAGATGGTATCCTAAATCTACCCATTCTTGAATCCATCCTCTGCCAATTCACCTAGCCTTCTGTTTCTTTATCAGATTTGGCAATACAATTTGTAAACAAAGAAAGTGATCTCATCGAAATTCATTTGTTGTAATAGTATATAACTATAAAAAGGTTAGCATTGCGTGCAGGTTTGATGTTCCTAAGTTCCTAACTACTATTTAAAGTAGTTTATAAGTGTCGACCTAAAATGCAAGCTAGATGCGCATATTCTGGTATATAGAGGGCATCACTGATATAATATGAAGTATGAACAAAGTAAGAAGATTAAGAATGCATTTCTTTCTTGTCTTGAAAGAATTTTTTAATACATAAAGTATACTTGACTCTATACAGAAGGGTCTTGTGCATTGAGAAGATAAAGCAATACATGATGACGGAATGGTCCCCACACTTCAACATGACAGTGCCTTTCTGTTTGCCTAACTTCATGCTTGAGCAATTCTTGGTTGAGTGGTGAATATACGGTTGAGAGTGGCAGCCAAGCGAATCCCACCTTGTGCTAGTCTCTTCTCCACAATAGGCAGTCGAGAGAGGAAGTAATCATCTATAATACAGAAGAAAAGTGTAAAACTGGGAATTATGAAAAAGAAATTTTATTATGATAGATGGTCATTGGAGGACATAATGCTATACTGCATAATTTATGCATATTTTGCATGCCTTTGCAGCAAGCATGGTAAATTAAAATACATGCTTCATTAAGTTAGCCATGTGCACAGCTAGATAATCATAGAGAATGGTTAGAGGAAAAAAAATGTAAGAAATGATTTTGACAATCAGATGCTATAATTTTCTAGAGGGAAAATGTTTTAGAATGGTTTATTTGAACAAAACAGATCCTCCCACTGGATGGAGGAATCAGAATTCCAGCTAAAGACAAAGTTT